TATATATATATATATATATATATATATATATATATATATATATATATATATATATATATATATATATATATATATATATATATATATATATACCGCTTGATGATTCTTTACTGATGAAACAGACTGTTGCGGAATTTTGAGGTAAGCGAAATGAAAATTGATCCGGTATTCTATATATTTTCTTGTTATTGTGTAATGAGAATGTACTTTTAATCGCGTTAAAAATATTGTTTTTGTGTTATTATCACATATATATTTATATATATATATATATATATATATATATATATATATATATATATATATATATATATATATATATATATATATATATATATATAAAAATCGTTTCGAGTTTTGAAGCAATTTGTGTTTGGTATGGGAAATTGTAGAGAAAGTTTGATTTTAATGTTTTATGTTAAAGTGGCATTATCATTATTCATAATCCAGAAATATAACGCATGCTTGATATTCTTACCAAATTTTAAGGCAAAATTCGTTTATCTTCCGGACTTTTTTACGATTCTTATTTGCCAATTTTACGGCCGCCATTAAACGCAGCCAATTAAGCAAGAAGGCGTTTTGAAGAGGATGTGACGTCATTCACTCAACACGCCGAATGTTTTTATTGTATTTCACTACTATTTCAACAATGTCTTTGTACAAAGGAGAGTAAGAAACTTCAGAAAGTGAACACTTGCATGGGACAAAGTGAGCTGTGATGAAGAAACGTATACGGTGACTCACATTCAAGTGGAAATAGTGATGAAAAGAAGAAATCAGACCTAGAATTGTTAATATTTGTTGACAATAAATGTAATTAAGTTATAGCTAGCCTATAAACACATGATTTCAACGCATGTGTGTCTATTGGTCTATTTCTGTATTTTTAACGACTGTAAATTAAACTGATCGATCAACACTCAGGGAATTTAGTGCACTTGGAGATTTAGTACAAGTAAATATCCTATGACTCTCTAAAATATCCCAATGAAATCTGCGCTTTCATTGGGACACGGATAAACGCGGTACTGATATATCGAGGTACTGATATTTATATACGAAAGATTATTGCATATAACAATACAAAGTTGATTTCAGATTTTACAACTTGCATTTGAATCGGATAATTTGTATAAATAGAAGGAATAATGTCTCGGGACCGAATCACAGAATTAATATCTAAATTAATAATGCTTCAAATCAGTTGAATATTTGTTTTCCATACTTTTATAAACCTTTAATATACTCAGTCAATGCCAATGGCAATGCCAATGGGCGCAAGTTGAAAGTTACACATCTACTTTTCAAATGCAAGTTGTAAAATCAACTATTGTATTTATCCCTGTCGCGTGTGACCTTTTTATTCCCGAGCGCGAAGCGCCGTGCGAGGGTACTAATTCCCCCAGCTATTTACACCCGGGGAAACGAAAGCATTAGCGAAGTCTAAAGTTCATCAATGATCGCGGACGTGGCTCACTGTGCGTGGGTGGTCATCCTCACTGATCTCAAAAATATGGCGGACTGTCATGAATAGCGAATACTGTGATTGGTCCAATTTATAGCTCCGCCAACATTCAACTCAAAGAAGACAAGTGGAGATAGAACTTTTGTTGTGGCAGCACCAACCTTATGGAACGAACTTCCATCTGATATCACAAGGGAAAATAACATCAACTCTTTTAAGAAACGGCTTAAAACTCATTTGTTTGGAGAAGCATACGCTAATTCTTAAATTGAACGATTGTCTTATTCTTGTTTACATTCTTAATATTTACATTTTTAATATTTACATTTTTTATATTTTAGTATATTACATATTTATACATTATAGTGTACAGTATAGAAACATTTGTTATATTTTGGAAATTTGTAAAGCGCATTAAATCATCTATCAATGTTATTTTGCGCTATATAAATATTAAAATTATTATTATTATTTAAAGTTTGCATTATAACGACTGCATGACGACAGCGAAATAGCAAACATTTCTTGATTTGATGATTGATAAATTTCTTGAAAATATATTTCATTTTTGCTCGCATTTTTGCAAGATTTTGTAAATTTCAAGAAAGAAAGGGGGAAAGAATCGGCTAAAAGAAGGGAGCCGACGTTAACGAAGGTATAAGTTTGTTTTAAATATTGATTTTATAATTGCTTTAAAACCTGACGGCTTTTGCTTATATCAAAACAACTAAACAAGACAGCATATAATTTCAGTGTATCTTTAATATTGATTCTCTTTTTATTATATTGAATTTTTTAAATAAAGAAAGAAAGCAAAGTTATTTGCATGCGAGAATTTGAAATCATTTTATTGCAATCTCAAAGTCTATCGATAAAGCCATTTAATTAAAGGCAGATTAGTTTTAACTTTTATAAAGAACACTTTAAAACCTTTTGCGAAGCGTTTGTGGTTGAATTGTACCTTAAATTGAAGCTTATATTACGTATGATATCATACATAACATATATATGCTGGGAAATTGATAAGTTTGTAATTAAAAGTGATATTTTTAGGCAATTTTTCATTTGTAAGAATATTCTTAAAAAATAGGTACGCTACGCGTACATGTATCTGCGAAAAAACGTGATTCAAATTTTGTATTTTCTTGAAAGAAACTGAATAATCTGCCTCGTCCCCAGGCGCTAATAAAAAAATTTCATGCGAGTCACTATATGAAAGGTTGATTTTACCCCAACAACTGAGTCACCGAGCAAGAATAAAGTAAAAGAAATACTTGATATATACGATGTCGAACAATTAATAAACGAACCGACAAGAATTAACTGCTACATCTAGCATCCTGATCGATTTATGCCTAACCAATACACCTGTAAATATTGTGAAGTCTGGTGTCATACACGTATCTATTAGTGACCATTCATTAATATATATGATACGTAAGGCTAACTATATACGAGGGGGCCCCAGAACGATAGATGCTAGAACAATGAAGAACTTCAACAGAGAATTGTTTCTAAGCGACCTTGAACTAAACCATTGGGATAGTGTCTATTGCTCCCAGGACCCTAACGAAGTGTTTGATGTCTGGAAAAAAATGCTCATGAAAACCATAAATAAGCACGCACCACTTAGATCCAGGAGAATTAGAAATAGAAAATCTCCCTGGATTACAAAAGATTTAAGACGCCAGATATTTAACCGAGATTACCTAAAAAAGAAAGCTGTTACATCCAATGATCTTAAAATCTGGCACCAATATCGACAAACTCGAAATCACATTAATAATGAAATTAAAAAAAACTAAACAAGCTTATTATAAGAATAATCTTGAATCGAGTAAAGGCAACATGAAAAAAACATGGAACCTTATAAATGAACTAAGCTCTAGAAATGTAAGCAAAACTAAAAAGATATCACAATTAGATTTTGAAGAGCGAGAAATAACTGCACCTGAAGAAATAGCTGAAACATTTAACAGCTACTTCTCAGGTATTGGTGAAAAACTTGCTTCCGATATTCCTGCTCCTGTGCGTGATCCAGTATTTTATCTTAAACCAACTGATAAATCTTTCTCTCTCAAAACTCCCTCCGTTAAAACAGTTTATCAACTGCTGACTACATTAGATGATAAGAAGTCAGCTGGTTTGGACAATATACCAAACAAATTCCTAAAGATAGCTGCAAGTGTTATTGCACCCTCGTTAACAGGAATATTCACTGCATCTATTAATACCGGAATATTCCCGTATGAATGGAAGGCAAGCAGAGTAACGCTAGTATTTAAGAGTGGCACAAGAAATAACCCAGGCAACTATCGGCCTATATCAATTATTCCATGTGTTGCTAAAATTTTTGAAAAAATCATTTTCGATCAACTACATGGGTATCTTGATTCAAATAATTTGCTGAACAAATGCCAATCTGGATTTCGACCGTTCCACAGTACCCTAACAGCGTTGCTAGAAGCCACAAGCGACTGGTCCATGAATATTGACAATGGCCTAATTAACGGAGTTGTATTTATTGATTTAAAGAAAGCTTTTGATACGATCGATCATCAAATTATCCTACAAAAGCTTAAAAATTATGGTATTGACGAAAACAGTCTTACTTGGTTTCATTCATACCTCACTGATAGAACTCAAAAGTGCCGGGTAAATGGTCAACTGTCAGATTCTGTGCCAGTGGCCTGCGGTGTACCTCAAGGTAGCAGCCTAGGGCCGTTGCTATTCCTCATCTACATTAATGATTTACCGAACTGTCTTGATCATACAACTGCAAGAATGTTCGCAGATGATACAAGTATTAGTTATGCATCCGACTCTGCCAAAGAGCTCCAAAATGTCATTAACACCGAATTGAAAGGTCTAAGCGATTGGCTAACCACTAATAAACTAAGCTTAAATATTGTAAAAACAGAATTCATGGTAGTTGGATCTAGACAGAGAATAAAAACACTAAATACTGAAATAGATATTGAGATAAACGGTAATATGGTCAATCAAGTTACTTCGGTAAAATCTCTGGGTGTCCATCTTGATAATCACCTTATGTGGTCTGAGCATACTGACAAACTATGTAAAAAATTGCTTCAGCCATAGGGGCTTTAAAACGTATAAGATCCTGCATTTCAACGGCTATCCAAGTATACCAAGCACTGATTGAACCTCATTTTGACTACTGCTGCTCGGTCTGGGATGGTCTTGGCGAAACGCTAAGTTCTAAACTACAAAAATTACAGAACCGGGCGGTCAGGGTCATTACGAGGTCCAGCTATGACACTAATGCTACTGTGCTTCTTGATACTTTACACTTGGATAACTTATCGTTGAGACGCAAAAACCTTAAAGCTGGCTTGATGTTCAAAACACTCAAAGGTGACACACCTACCTATCTACAAAATCTTTTTTCAGTTCGTGGCTCAGAATATAATCTTAGGAACTTTGAAATGAAATTAAATCTACCGAAGCCACGAACTAATTATCTGAAGCGAAGCTTTCAGTACAGTGGAGTAGTGCTGTGGAATAGCCTTCCCGAAAATATAAGAATGCTCCAATCGTTTGCTCAGTTCCGGAAAGCTGTAAACAAGTATTATAATAGTTTAGATGAACTCCCACACGGCAATCTTGTAAACCAGTAGATCATATTCTTTTATTTATTTTGCATGCTTAACTATATCTTTTATTTACTATATTCTTTTATTTATTTTGCATGCAAACTATATGTATGTATATATATATATATATATATATATATATATATATATATATATATATATATATATATATATATATATATATATATATATATATATATATATATATATATATATATATATATATATATATATATATATATATATATAAGTAAATCACCAACCCTTCTCCGATCAAGTTCAATATCATATTAATATAAATAAATCACAAACTAAACTTTTTATTACAACATTTATTCTAAACCAACGTTTCGGGGCATGCCCCTTCATCAAGGATGAATAACGAAGTCAATGGCCTAATGTCCTTTATATAACCCTATTAATTATATACAACAATTAATCAAAATCTCTCATATTTAATCCCCTAGGTACAAAACTGTCCAATTTGTATACCCAAAATGCTTCCCTTTGTGTAGGCTTACCAATATTGGTTTTATCAATAATTATAACCCTAACATCGTCCAAACCTTTATGCCCTGGGCCAAAAAAATGTGCGTATAAATGCTCCGCAGCCATTTTTCTGCCCCCTGGTTCATACTTCCTCATTGAGCTCTCATGATTATTAAATCTCTTCCTAAAAGATGTTATCGTACTTCCCACATAAATCTTAGAACAACTGATACATCTTAATACATAAATTACACCCTCCGAATCACAATCAAAGGAATAATTTATCCAATACTTATTATTCCCATATTCAAATTTTTCCGTTTC